TCTGGCAGGTTGAAGTCACCCAGCAGGATTTAAACAAATGAGAAAGACATATGCAGTGGAAAAAATGCTAGAAAAGTTTGCAATAGAGGCGGCGGGGGTGATTGTAGATGGATAAATCCTATTAGTACAGGTCGTTCGGTCTGTTCTGTAGATATTCAGGTAGTCTCTGGAATCCATTGTAGTAAAGGATGATCAAAGGGGTTTGCGCGAAGTTCTGCCTTGAAATAGATGGCACAGCCCTCGCCCCTTGAATTGTTCCTGTAGGAGCGGCAAATATCATAACTAAGAATTGAGATGGCCATGTCAGGTGTTTCATCCGTGAGCCATGTTTCAGTCACACAGATCTTACCTGGTGGTGCAGTGGCACTAATTGCTAGGAGACTAAGGATTTTGGGTGACAAGGAGCTGGCATTGACAGCATTATTGACAAGCGCATTGGTGAGTAAACGGTACTAAGAATGGCCTTTTTAACCTATCTCACGGTGGCGTTTGGTACTGGATGGGCTTGGTACTTGAAGGTGGGGTAACGTGAAGCATGGTTCAGTATCCGGGGTGGGGTATTCACTAATGGTGATAGGTGAGTAAATTGAAGGTGAAATAAGTCTGAACCCACGGCAGGGGGTAATTTATCAGGCTTAGTATAGGGTACGAAATGACTTTGGGGGAGGGACTGCTGTTGAACGCAGAGTTGTCGGCCGTGCCATCTGCATTGTCAGGTATGGAGGGGGTAGGATACAAAAAGTGGTGGAGGCTGTGGAGGATGGGTGGCTGCCAAAAATGGTGTTCTGGTTAAACAAAAAGCAGTGGGTTGGGTAGTGGAAACCGAGGAGAGTCGGAGCTTGTCATCATTAGTTGTGGATACGAGTTTCGTCCAGGCACGTGGTTTGTTTACTTTGCCGTGCTTTTCAAAGATCATTAAGGTGGGGCCACACGTGGCTTCGACAGGGCAGTTGTCGGTCTATGCAGATTTCTAATTGTGCCTGTCGGCACTGCTGTATATGGTTCGCGCTGAACTCGGCGAATACCAGATTTCGCTTTCTGGGACCTCAAGAATTGCTGTTCCGAGATAACGTTGCCGTAGACGAATTCGTTCCGCGATGAAATACAGCAGAATTCTCTAATCAAAATGCATAAACAAGCCAAGACGATCGCGTCATCGCTCAGAGCGTTCTTTTAGGCGAAACTATCTGATGCACACGGCTAACACGGGGACGCGTCCATAATGTTCAATCAACTAGCTAGATTTAATCGACGTTCAGTTGAATGATGAGGCCGGTTGACTTCAACCAAAACTGAAAAACCGTTGTAAGCCGTGAGTGGCCTTGGGCGGTTTAGTAACTTGCCATGGTTACGGAGAGCACAAATGGAGGTGAAGAGATGGAGAAACTCAAAGTGGAGACAAACGTAGGTTTCCGCTGCAAAAGTATGGTTTACATTGAAACTGAGTTGACTCGCCATCGGAGGAAAGTTGAACGTGAAACAGTTTTGCGAGGGAGAGCTAGTGTTAATGCACAAGACCAAGTGAACATGGTAATTAAAATCCTTGAATGTGTGCAAAGAATACAGTGAAATAAAAAATACTGGTGATTCTGTCTGTAAGAGACGTCCAGCAGGTTGGACCGAACTCGTCCCAGAGGCTACTAGGGCCAAGTAGACAATTCGTTCGTACTGGGTGGCAAAGGAAAAAGTGGACGAGAAGGCACAGTCAAAGGTACGACATGAATGGTCGCATGCGTGCCATCATACTTGGTATGACAGTACCGTACTATCATTTCACTAACGTACTCCGGTTCCCGGACAGCCTCGTAACGGGCATCATTGGAGGTGAATGTGCGATTCTGTGGGCAGCGGAAATTTCGGATAGCCATGGGCCAGTTACAGTCGAATAAAGCCACTGTAAGAGCAAAGACAGTTTTGGTTCGATTGGAGATTCCCTTATATGCGAAGCGCAGACCACATGGAGTGTACACCGACCACACAGGGCTTTATCAGCTTGGGACGAGGAGGGGGTTGAACAGGATCATCGAAGCCTGGTGCGTTTGAGGAGGTATCAAATAAGATGGAGCCCACTTACAAAACAGTCCAAAGTCTATTGCAGCCGGGGTGTCGACAACAGGTGGTTGAATGATAAAAGGTAGGGGTGAATATATGCTTTGTAGGCTAGCAATCAAGGATTGGCTAAGCTTACTAACATAGTGGTACCGTATTATAGGAGGGATAAATGCAAAACAAGGTTTAAGTATTCAAACATGTTGTGGCAAGGGACAGCATACCCAGAAGGACTGTTTGATATAGAACCTTCAAGATCATGCATTATTTTGTCTGAAATTTACTGCTTGAGCTGGATTGTACCACAATTTGGTATGGATGGTGAGTGTAAAAGAAAGGGCCACCAGCCCATAGAGCACTGCTATCAGCCGCAATCAACAAGCTGTGCATGGCGAAAAAGCCTATAGTCGCTAGCGTTCGATGGTATTGTCGGAGGATTGCGAACTTCAATTTATCTTGTTTCTATTTATTGCATATGACTGTTCTGGAGAGCACTAAAGGAGACCGTTTGTCAGGTTTGGCTGAAAAAAGTCGGATCTGATGCAGCGCAGCCCCAAATACCCCCCCAAATGAGCACAAGAAAGCACTTCAACGTAAGCCATGGGCATCCTAGAGAATCAACAGGGCGTCCCATGTGTATTTTGTAGTTTCTTTTGCGGACCGGGGGCCGGTTTTTCATCATCCGTAGCGTAAGGTGATATCTGATAATTGAGATATCCTGGGAATGTCCAAACCAGTGACTAGAGGCAAACAATGACCGAGCTCTTGAATGGATTTCCTGTATTAAAGGCCAGGGTTAGAAATACTGACGATGGGATATGTATTCGTCTAACAGGAGGCCTGCCCGGCTTATGAACGCGCCATGGTGCAATGTAACAATACGACATTTTTCGCAGGGCTTGTCAAACCACATCCTGAGGTTTTCATCCCCTGCATATGCTGCGCGTTCCACAAGATGAAAAATGACCAAGCGGCTTGTGCATCAATAAAGTACTCCAGCAAGCAGACTTTCATTCCGGTCGGGTGGAAGCCAGACCTGGGAAACAGTTTGATCGATTTGGACAAGCAAGTTGCAAACAGCCAATGATAAAGGCAGCTCCCACAGGGGGCAAGCGAATTGGCAGCTGCCAATGGGACATAGTGAGTAGGATGGAGATATTCAGAGCTGGTGAAATGCGGCCAAACGGCGCCAGAGTGTTGGGTTGAGTTATCACGTTAAATGGAAGCACATTGCGATATTGTATGGGTATGTTTATTGGACTGTGGATCCTTACAGAAATTTCATACATCGCGCAGCATCAGACAGACTATATTCTCCCGGCGGCTTATGCGCTTTATTAGTGGAAAAAGGTGACTTCGGTTTGATTTATGGTACAGTAGCTTGAAGCAAGTCAAGGAAATAACAGGGTATAATACCGGGGTCCTTCACTAGTTCATCGATTGAATCATTATGACACTCAAATACACATGGGATCCGATTCGTAGAGGATATCGGGGGTAGTTGGGTTATACGAAAGGTGGTTTCAAGAGTAAGGAAAATTATACACGGTCTGCGAAAAGTGTGATGGTGTGTGGTTTTCAGGGGCTTTTCGGGGAGACTTTTAAATGCAAACTTAGTAAACTAGGCATAAGTAATGGCGTGGTTTTGTACGAGCTGAAGGGCTCACTAAGTGGTTACTGGAGCTACGGAATCTGGATTACATAACGTGGAAGTGAATCACCTTTTGGCCTAGCCTCTGCTATAAAGGAATTTTAATGTAGGATACACGGATTCAGCCCAAAGTGTCTGAGCAACAGTAGGTGAACGTCCGAAAGCTGACGCTGTACGCTTTTAAGTGCTTTCAAGTGCCGCCCGCATTCGTGCGGCTAAGTTGTCCACGACAAAGGTCTTCACTTGATGCTCCTCGACCGTCATTCCCCTGAACCAGGCAAACAGCTTCCGCATAGCGGCAAACTGTTCCCGTTCAACGAAGGCGCACACAACCGGACGTCAGCTACTCATGCCATCGGTGATCAGGGAGGTTAGGATCTTTTATCTACAGGTTAGATATTCGTCACCTTATAAAGATTGGTGCAGAAGGTTATGCACAAAATCCGCATAGGTCCTGCAGCCGAGCGGGGACGCGCGCTAACTAGGCTGGATTCTCGGCCTCCATAGACAAAACGCACTACATAGCCGGTTAGGTGCTAACTGTCTGTTAACAGCGAATTCACGCAGCATACTAGCTTCTTTGGATTCCTTAATTTTCCGTTGGTTTTGCTAGCCGCCTGCTAGGCTGCTCGCTACGCTCACAAATAACACATAACTATCCGTCACACATTCCTTTAACTTCTTCTCAAATGTAGTGAAGAGTGAGAACCGGACTGCTCTAAATTACCTAACAAATCTATCTGAAGCAATTTCGGCCGTAGCACTGCAAGTTCAACTCCGAATGCGCGCTAATAGTTAAGAATAGAAAGTACTTAGAGGAAACCGCGTTAAAACAAAAGCTGGATGAGAGTATATATATCCAGTATTTATCCAGCAATATATAACATTTCTACAGAATAATTTTTACTTCGCCTGCAAAGTTTTTCCAGAAGACATTATTTTCTAGCAAAACATTAAATCAGTCGACAGCTCCCCGGAGTACGTGGTAAACACAAACGGAAAATATCAGTTTAAAATAATGCAGGTTAATGACTTTTTGGGGGCGAATGTGCAGAGGAATGCTACACTTTAACGCAAATTTTTCTACGCCCTGCGAATATAGGATAGGGTAACTCAATAATATAGTTGGTTTGGTATTGTGTGCTCAAGTTGACAAAACTAAAATCTTTAAGAATATCCAATGAGCTCTTGAAACCGGGATAACAGTATCCGGGATTCTGAAAAAATACTTCTAACCGTTGGTTTCGCAGAGTTCATTCATTGTTTGTTTGTTCCACTCTTCGGCTTGAATACGGAGGCAACGCGGGTGTTTGGTTCTACCGAGTGCTCATCGTAAACATCTGATTTTTCTTGTTGCGGGTTTCTGAAATCACCCATATTTCCGTCGCGGAGCATACCATGGGCGATTCTCTATTCCAGGAAAACGTTGGCCACCAAGATGACGATTACGACTATCTGATCAAGCTACTTGCGCTCGGTAGGTTGAGTTATTTGTATCACAGATGTCAACACATACACGAGCAACCATAATGACAGTTACATTTTCGCGAACTGTGAGTACAGTGAAGTGGCTGCCAAGAATGTATTTAAGGCATGCGGCAATCACCTTGTGTGAGTTCGTATTTCTCCAGGAAAAAGCTTCGACAACCTCCTATCTTGGCATCGGTAGCAGACAGAAAAATAGGCGATGGGAGAATCATGCGAGGGTTACCGATGTAAAGAGGAACTTTCAGCACTTGGGTTCTGCAGCCCTCAGTTGTCAATGGTGAACTTCAGATGAAGGTTTGCGTTTCTTGAATTCGCAACTTGACTCTGGTCGCGGCTAGGTTGTCAGTTTCCCACTTCAGGGTTGCGCGTATAGGGTCAAAATAACTTTGTTCACCAACTCCAGCGGCTTTCATTAGTTCATTGGTACCGAGCTACTAGAAACGTAGAGCCACGTTGATGACGATCGGTCTAAGGCTAAATGGAAATGCGAAAAAGCTATCACAATTATTTGTGATATCTCGATGCACTGTACGTACGTTCATTGTGTTGGCTGTGGAACCGAACTGATTGAACTCAACGGCTGTCTGCCAATGCCATGGGGGTCAAGTCGGTAGCAAGCCTAAAAAAAAGCCGTACCAACACCTGTCTTCTACAATGCACCCTGGAGAGAGATAGAGACGGCTTTCGTCGCAGGAGTTAGCCGAAATGTATTCCGGCTGACCTGAGCAACTGGCCAGAAGTTCGTAGTCCTTAAGAAATGCAAACTGCAAAAGTCTCATGTTCAAGAAGGACGCACGAAGGGGAATTAGCTTGATCTCCGTTGTAAGTAGACTTTGCGTCGTCTTACGAAGGCGCCTGAGTCGGAACCCGAGAACAGTAGTAGGAGTTGTGTGAACCGCATCCTCGCACTCCGTCAATTATCAAACCAACGCCATGCCTATATGCACCCCCACAATATTTGTGATCCTTCGGTTCAAGAGTAAGTTTGATTTGAACATGTTTCTGAGAATTTCAGAGGCAACAGCGAAGGTTGTGAAACGCCATAGGGGTTTCAGAACGTCCATTAGCTCTGACGTTGAAAGATGAAGTCGACGTACGAATCTCAAAGACCAGAAGCTTATTTACCAATTAGCGTCACGTGGCACCATATAGACGTACAACTATCTCAAAGAACACGTGTATTTGACTGCAGTGTGGACTGTGTTGTTGTAGGGTTGCGAGACTTAGACGCTTCGGGCGGCGAGTTTTCGACCACCGATACCTCAGAACTATAGCTGGAGTCGGTCGGGGCCAACGAATTCGGAATAAATTGTTTAAGAGACGGGTTCTTCGTGAAGTGGAGGACATTTCCCTCAAAGAATGCATCCAGCACCGTAAGGTTGCTGGGCCATGAGTTACGCATGTTGAGTTATCATCTGCCTTGACGAGTGCTATTTTCCGTGTGAGGGAAACGTAGATGTGGGCAGAATTTAACATGGCAGAAGGGACTGAAGAAAGTTACGACAAATTTTGAGCGCTTTTGTTACTGCTGGACTTCCAAAATGGAGTCCACGTTCCCTCCCTGTGCTTGATTGGAGATAATGGGCGATACAGTGGCTAAACAACGTCTATGGCGCTCTGGTTGGCAATCTCTACTCAGATTGTGTGGCCGAGTGCTGGAGGTGTAGGCGCCTCGGATGCTTGCGGTAGGCTAACCATGGCTCCACTCCCGCCTGCCCGATTTCTCTCTTGTATGAGGCTTGAATAAAATAAATTGATAGGGTTGTATGGCATTGAAACACCAGTGTTTTCCTACCTTGTTGCTGCAGGTGATGATAATAATAGTCATAATAATAATACTAAAAGCTGGTCAAACTCTACATTTGGGCTGGTTAGACTACGTACTTCATATATTTGCCTCATAGAACCGTCTTCGCCCATCCATGTGTCGGATGGAGATAACCTGTGGACAGGACTTGTTCTCAATCTTATTCTCCTTATTCTGGGTGAACGAAGCTGTAGCATCTTGAGCCACTGTACTTCGGTACTCGGTTTTTCAGCCGGAAAGCTGAACAGCTGAGCTTAAAAACCCTGTTGTCTTTGGATGCACCGGAGAAACAGAAAAATCTACTGATCTGATTTTCAGGAAGGGACATTTGCGTGCGGTACAAATAACCACTTTTGCCTGACCCATGGTTGTGTTACCGACAGACACATGATCAAGTTGTTTATCAACTCTTGTTGGAAAGCACACGCTGCCAAAGAAACCCAATGGTGTGACGGTCACTGGCATTGATAGGCCGGCCTAAGTGTGGGCTTAGTGCTTAAGAGGAAGCACTGGGGAATAACTAAATCAGAACATACTGTGATCAAGCATCCATCTAAGTTTCCAGTTTTTTTCACGCAGCGAAATAACAGGATATTTATATTCTGCCGACATTTTCCACCTAAGTGATCCCATGCAACACGCGCGACGCTTTTTCACATCCAAAATGATTCAGTGTTCTTCTTGCAAAGATTTCTCACACAATGACGAAGATCCTCCACGATGGTAAAAATGTATAAGCGCTCCAGGATATTGTGGCTCCAAGCTTAGCGGTATCCGGCTGTGAAAGGCTCTTGGTGAGTGATTCATTTTGGATGGCTGTTTCGTGAAGTCATGGGGATCGTCTTATACATGCATAAGGAATAGTTGGCTGAACTATTGTAGACGAAATGAGCTAGCTGTTTATTTAATGAAAAGCAGTCCTCTTCTTCTGCCACCATCTGACAACAAAGTCCTTTACGTTCCGCGAGTCATTTGCTCAAAGGGAATGTGTGTACCGTTAACCTGGGTTTAAACTCCTGATGAAGGTCCATTTTCCTGGGTTGTTCCTTGAACGCATGAGTGCAACTACATCTTGAACCAAACTTAACCACGTTTTGACATACGCCACTTCCACCTTTGTCCGCGCAGGTGACAGCAACGTTGGAAAAACCAGCCTTTGGTTCCAATACACAGATAACGTATTCAATCCGCGATTCACATCAACTGTAGGTGTCGATTTCAGACAGAAGCGGATTGTTCGTGAAAGCCGCGATGCCGATGGACTGTTGGGACCAAAGCAACGCCTCCATTTACAGTTGTGGGATACAGCTGGCCAAGAGCGGTAAGTCCGTCAGTGACATCCTTGATACTCCTTTCGTATATCCGTATTTCTATTGCTCTTATCTAGGCTTGTGCAACCTGGAACCATCCCAGCCCTCGGGCTTCCTTCGAGATGTACAGCAACTTTGCGTTGAAAGAGTGCAGGGGACAGTCTTGGTTAAGATAACGGACTTGATCAAAATACGAGTTGATATTCTTCAACTGAGTGTGTTGCGTAAAGGCCTCCCCATGATTCAATCGCCATGGTATTCTTGATATAGCATCATGCTAATATGGTCGCTATTGGAGGGTTTTCTTCAACCCTAAAAGTTGTATTGTTCACAATGAGAGTTAGTTACTGTTATTTTTCATCGTATTTCCAGCCCATCGGTCTGCAGGGCTTTTAAGGTGCACTGAAGACTTCTGGGTATCTGAGCACCGATCTACACATCTGTGCTGCTCTGTTCTTAGAAGTGTTTATGATCGTTGATAACACACCTCCTCGAATCATCGGTGAACGAAACTGTTGCAGCTAGAACCACTGTATGACAAGTACTCGGTTTTTACAGCTAACAGTGTTGATGATATACCATTATTTCAGTACCTTGTGTCCTCGATAAGTTAGTTAACGGAATTCCTATCATGAGAGAAAGTAGGAGGAACTAGCTTAACACAACGACTGTCGGATTCCTTCACAAGTGTCTCAGGCAATGGATAGAAACTGAGGATGACGAGGGCCTCTGATCTTTGGTGATCGATGGGAGGTTTCTTTCCGTGAGGTGAACAGATGATTAATCGGGCTGGCAATATTAGTCGGCTGGGTAGATCAGAGAAACTTCCGGGTCATTGTTGGTGCTATGCATTCCCAGGAGCCGTGCTAGTCTTCGGTGCTTTAACGGTTAATAAACGGTGGTTTATGCTCAGAACTTTGATAGGTTATGAATTGCAGCTGTGCATGTGCTGGAGTCGCTAGTTCAACGAACAGCCAGTCAGTTCTCCATGATATGCAGTGTTGCGAATTCGGCTGAACAATGCTGATACCGAAACATCCCTCAGTTTGCAGTCAACGATTAAATGCTTGAACGGACAGCAAGTGATTTCTACCATTTTGTTAACACTTTGTTACCATTTGTTACTATCATGTTAAACAAGCTAACCCAGCTAACCTAGGGAAGCCTCACCTGAGGGGAAATACATCCCTGCATGTGCTATTACGGGTGATGAGATAAAGCATGTCCAAGTATAAAAGCAAGTAGGTGGTATGCAGCTTGTGTGGTGTTACATGCTGAAGCCTCCCATATTAAATGCTATAAGACATCACTTTAGCGTAACGTGCACTTGTAGGACCCGAGGCGTTTTCAATTTTGGGGTACTGACTGTTACGGATAGAGTCTTGATCCTGATTGTGTGCGAGAGCACGATGAGATTGTATAGACTGAATGGCACTTTATTTGTCTAAGAATAGACGTGCATAAGCTGAAAGTAATGACAACGTATGTTTAATACAAATACGCAAAGAATAGTCATGACACTGAAGTATCAGGACGTGGATGGCGTTTGGTGGCGCCAACGCGTTCGCAGTGAAATAATAAGAAGACGGTCTGCAGCAACAATTTCAGCTGCGAGGGCTTTTCAGCATCAATAGCTGCTGTGTGTCAGGCGTGTGCTGCACTTACCCACTGAAATGAGTACCGTTCTTCGTAACCCCACAACTGCACAAACTAGGAAATGGAGAACATGTGACTTGGTAATGTAGCTACCCAGTCACCCACACTTGACTGTTCAGCCCACAGTCGCTCACTGGATCACGAGACTTGTCTTTTTTCATACTCGCAAACTACGTCACATTAAGGTGACTCATCGGACATCGATTGTCGATACCGTCTAGTGAGCGTAGCAACAACTCATGTGCTAACACACCCACGTACAAGCAAACGGGCCTACATGTAGAGAAACCGAACACAGTCGACACACAGACCCCTGCGCTCGCAGGGAGCAGGAAGTCAACCTCTCCACAAATCCACGGACAGTTATGGAACACGTGTAGCAGTCGCACTGCAGAGAAAAACACGTTCCCGCCGTCCGGACTTTCACCAAGGAACTCTCACAGACGATAAGTTCCTTTTTTGACTTGCTCCCATTTCGCATTGCATTTAATTTTATACGTGTTGCAACCCACCACTGTCAACTATACTAAAAATTTTTATCAGTGCATATACCTTCTGAATTGTGTTATGGCCATCATCATCAGTGCACTAATAGTAGAAAGATGTGAAGGAATTCGCGTATGCCTTAGGGCCATAATGCCGTTCCATTTCGGGATGAATTTCCCGTGGTCCTCCGTGTTTCGGCCCGGAGACTTTGCAGCCCGACCATCCGGTGTTGGTGACATTTTCGTTCTCAGACTAAATGTCATCACTGCGGTCAAAGTAGTACACCACTGATAAGTACTGGTAAACAACCAGTCCCAGTAAACTGTAAAGAGAAAAGAGACTAATGGAGCGAGATATACTCATTTGCAAACAAAGTTGGTTTTGCGAGAGCCTTACCTCGAACCTAGCTGAATCTCTTGTTCATGGCGTTTTGAAGCAACTGAATGTGCTGCAACTTGGTTTATTTTACTGATTTCGAGCAATTTGGGTTCAAATAGAACATCAGGTTGACGGAAACTCGGGGACTGCGTCTACCAGACGATCTCCAAGGAAAGCAAAACCGGTTGTGGGCTGTCGAGGGATTTTCGGCAACCTTATGAGTAGTGTATTGTGACTAATGGGGGTCGGGGGTGAGATGGCTCAAATGGTTAGAGCGCGAATTTACTGACCGGAAGGTCCGTGGTCTGAGCCCGACCTCTGCCTCTGGACTTCCCTGGTCTAGGCTTGGGCAACCTGGCAGTATCCCAGTCATCGTGCTCCCTTTGGGTGACATGGCAGCTAGTCACCGGAAGGGTGTTACTACTGAGAGATTTTAAAAAAAATTTTCTAATGGGGGCCAAGTGCAAAGGAATATTTCGTATTTACGAAAGGGATTAAAACATTTCTGATGGTATTGATGTAAACCTATCGGTTATCTTATCCGACCCTCCCTAGTTCATTTTACCCAACTTCCTCTGTGAGCCTTGCCCAAAGCAACTCTAGTGCACACGGGTAAACCAACTAGCTAGTGAGTTGGGTTAGGAAGTGATAGGATGCTCGCCCTTGGGATAGTAAGATTCCCCTCAACCAGGATGGCACAAAGACCGCGCAGTCTTCATTTTGACTGTAATTGCTTTCACTTCGCACTGAGATACCGTAGTTCGTCCGCAGCAAGTATTTTGCCAACATCAGTTTGGAATGAGGTGGGAGGTGGTTCAGTGGTCAGAACGCGAATTTACTGAAGTGAAGGTCCGTGGTTCGAATTCGACCTCTGTGTCTCGACTTCTATCTAGTTTTGGACAGCCTGGCAGTATCCTGACAGCCCTTGTGCTTCCTTCGTGTGACATGGCAGCATCGAAAGGGTGTTACAGCTGAACAGTTATTATTATTATTATTACTATTAGTTTTGAATCAAATGCTCTGCTTTCTTTGGCTGGCGATGGATGGGCAGTTAGTACATGTCCTAGCCACCTTAATCTGTTAAATTGTGTTTGGCACTTTACCAACTGATTCACTTGCTGTTTTGTTGCGAATATGCCGAAGAATTAACTTTTCATGGGTTCCAAATGCAGTATGTTTGATGGGGACAGTTGACTGAAGCCTCAGTTTGGGGATCAATACTGGAGCAACCGGCCTCGCCAGCTGCAGATTCGCTTGGACAGCATCGTCCAAAACCCGTACTTAAACTTTGTATTCGGCCTTTGAAAATACAATGTCTATTGATAAGCTATCTAGAGTACACACTAGAGCAGTTGACTGGCCTATTCGCTTGAGAATTTGCGAACCGATGGTTGAGTGGCGGCATGTAATTGTTCACTTTCAAGGCTGCCTGACAAACGTGCCCAGAACTGGGATATGCCGCACTGACAGTTTTTCGCTCATTCGCCCTTGTGCAGCGATCAGCTTGACCCGGTTAATTACACCACGGGATTGCCGACGTGGCATAAGGCACTTTTGTAAGGGTATTACCTGGTTGTTTGTGGTTTGGGATACAATTAAAGGCGCTCAAATCTAGCCGAGGAAATGGTTATTAGGGTTCTCAACTGACTCGAAACTATCACATGACAGCGGTGGTTTCGCAACTTTTAGGGAGCACGTCGCCCTTAACAACCAGGATGTCAAATCTGCTGGTAAACCTGGTAGATGTTTTCCTACCCTGTTTTCCATTTTTTGTCCCTTTGAAATTCACTTTATGTCTGCGGGACAGTAGAGCATGGAGTCTACTCCTGTAGTCGCGTTAATTGCTTTGTATAGCTCGGTATGTGCAATAGTTGCGGTTTATGAGGGCAGCAATAGGTATTCTATTCTTCAAGCTAATACCTATTCGGCGTCAAAGCATCCCAACAGTACCAGTGTAACGGTGATACTGCTGATGGGAGGGCATGCGAGTAGTATGTTTTCTCGTAAATCCGCTTTGCGTCTCTTGAAAAGTGAGATCTATCACGGAATTTGTGGAGTCGCTTTGTAGAACTTGCTTGAATTTGAGCAACAGTCAATGAATGTCCAGAAAAGTTCAGGAAGACGAGGTCAAGGAGAAGATGGATATTCAGTTTTTGTAAACTAGATGCATATGAGGATTCTGCATCCCTGTCCAATGGCCTGTAACTGTTCAGTTGGTGTTTATGTAATAAACAACTAAGCAGCAAAGGCCTTCTTCCTTTCACCCGGGCAGTTGATATTGTTACTGTTTCTCACGATAATGCAGCCTGCTCAGATCTGTCTTATTTGCGAGAGCGTTGCTTTGTCTGTGGTCACGGTCAATAAATCTCAGATAGATTCGGGTATGCTGATCAGCTGCAACTCTACGTGAATAAAGTGATTGTTTTAATTTAATTCCTCACGCTCAGATGGCAGTGAGAATCCCTTCAACGTCGTGGATATCTAGGTGACTGTGAATGAATGAGGCACGCGAAAATGTTTGGAGTAGTTGCTTATTTGGAACTTCAGAAACAAGAGTTGGCCGGTTCAGGATTCGGATAGTACTGTGGGTCAATAGCTAAGGCTACAATTAAGGTTCTGAAGCACTAACGAAATGGAAATGAATTTTAAAGCTTTTGGAAACAAAATCTGCTCTTCCACATTCCAAAACGACTAAATAGTATTAGTTTGGAAGCGTTCTGAGATTAAAAGTACATTAGTGTATGGATGACAATTCACAAATTCCATTTGTTTTGAGGCTTAAAATTTTCACGGGGTACCAAATACGTCAAGGGACTTACTGCCTTTTGTACAGGAGAATAGCAACACGAGCAGCGTAGTTGTGGTCCACATTTGATTGTTTAGCAAGGCCTGTGTAGTAATATATTTATACGAGAATGACCATTACTTTCTATGGTAGGGTTGCAACTGGCTAAATGGAAAGAGGGTGCATACTAAGATTCAGTCAGTATTTTATTGGCTTCCTTGTTTTTCTCGCTTACTTAATAGTGTGTTCTACTGTTGAATGTGTTCTGTATTGCAACATTTTTTCCACAAGTGTGCCACAAGAGGTATGCGACTTTTTTCAGTTTGTGGTCATTCACACAATAAGCGTTGATATTATGAATTTTGACTGGGACAATACACACGTTCATCTACACATATTCATGGCATTTGTGTTCTAATGTTGTCAGTCTGTTGTGAGAGTGCCACTTCATTTTTATACTTATTCAACAATGGAAAGATAATCACAGTATTTTCTAACTGGATTTTGCTCGAAACAACACTAGTTCTGTGTTTCCAACCCGTCACTGAACTGCAAGTTTGACATGGTGATGCAGTTGCTTCTTTGCTTCAGTTATCTCGTTCTCCTACCAACTCTTTTTGTAAAACTGCTTGAGAAACGTAATTTTTCTCAGGTGTTTGATTTCGTTGTGACTTTTGATTCGTACTGTTAATCATAGCTCGTCCGGAAGGCGATCGTCGTCCGCTGATCTGTAAGGCCCCGTAATTCTTTTCACTTCTGCTGGTCGCTGTATAGAGGCCAATTACCGACCTTGTCGTCTGTGTCAATTGTTTAAGCACCACGGGATGCTGTAGCGGGCTAACTTTTCAAGTTAATTTTTTTCCACGTCATAATTGTCTTTACACAGATTCGCGTGGTTATGCCACAATGAAATAGCCTTGATGAAGATGATCACGAGCTTGTTAGATCAAAAGCTGTTATTCTTTGATGTTTAACAGCTGGTATTTCGTGCGTGTATTGGTCGGCCTGATTGACCTTCATTTATCCATCTTTTACTGGGTGATGAAGCACTCTGTCTCTCTGGTTAGGAGAATGCCAACCACTGAGCACGTCCAATGCCAACATGATATTGACACAAACCCGCTATGTCTGGTTCGAATGCGACTTTGTATAGCATACGCGTGTGCAGAACAACCTTCTTTCCTGCCATGTATTGCTCAGATCTACCCCTTCCGCTGAATTCTCTCCCCCGCGCTTCGGTTAATGAAATCCTTTGATGCTTCAAAGTTTATGTCATTTTGGTATCTTCACTATCGCGCGACCGTTCGTAATTATTTCTGTTCTATTTGCCACTCAGCTACCGCAGCCTGTGTTCTGTATTTCTCCGGGATGCTATGGGCTTTCTTCTGGTATTCGACTTGACCAATGAAAAAAGTCTGTACAATTGCCGGGAGTGGATGGATCTGTTATGTCAGCATGCTTACTGTGACCGTCCAGACGTCGTTCTTGTCGGAAACAAATTTGATCTTACCTCAGAACGTCAGGTCCCCCTGTCCATGGCGACAGCAATGGCTCGAGAGCTGAAGTGAGTTTGGATTTTTTCGCCTCATCGCAAGAGTATCTATACGTCATACATCTCGGTGTTGTTTCACACCAGTAGTCGATAGAACCCTTCCGCAACCCTGTTTCAACATTACCATATAACTAACCAGAATGTTTTGATTCCCACACCCTACAGGCATCAACCCACTTTACGTACAACTAAATACCATTAACATCCATAGCTTGCTGCTCGCTGAGAAACCGCGATTTTTTGGCAACAAGAGCAAACGTAATTAGTGCACTCCACTTCTCTAGTGTGTTCTGGTGCTTTGGGAGTGCATTTTTCGGGTTCGTTTGTTGCAGAGTACCTTGATTGTTGTGCACTCACTGAATTTCTGCCAACTATCTCCACTCTCATTGTTGTTTTCTTTCTGGACGATACTTAGCACGACCGTATGAGTTTATTACTTCGAAACTGCAGGTGTCAAATGTATTTGTAACTTTTTTCTCCAGCGTAGGCCAGTTTCCACCCAAACACGCCCACTCCTGGTTTAATTTGCTCGACTGATCAGTTAAGAACGCAACCTGTAACTCCTTCATTGACCTGCTGTCTGTTTAGGCTTTATAGTGCACACGATGCTATCACACCCACACTGTTTTTTCAGATATCGGTTCAGTCTACAGTCTTCGTATTTGAAGTCACTCCACTCGAGCTTACATAATTACATAATTACTAAGGTACTCAATCCCCCATTGCTCTTACCTGACCTACCTTGAGAGTTTGAACCACTAATAAGACCAATACAAATTAAACCAGCGCTGTGGACGCAATAAGAGTAATGCTCGGGGAAGTATTTGTTTTGATCGGTAATTTTCATATTGTCGATCGTGCGCGGTGCTCACCAGTGAGTTACATTCACGTCTAGAGGTTACATTTTCAAACCACTAGAGGATGACGGACTTGATTAAGGTAAATGTTTGTCTGCAAAGGCGTCAGACTAGGTGGTATGAATATCACGCAGAAGTTAGACTAATTTGGAACAGTAGTTAATACTTCTGTGACTCTGTCAGTACTGCGTGAACATATTGAAGCGAACAGTGAGGTAGGCAGGAAAGCGCATCTAGAACTGACCGAAACTTTATCTTATCACACGAATGCATGGAAGTGGAAGAGCTCTCGGTTATGTTAAGTGAGCATGAATCCGACACAATCTACCTGGTATTTAAGATGCACGAAATAAAAAAATACCGGTGCTGTATGCAGTTCACAGGTACGATACTAAACTGGGGCGAGTTTTATTCCATTGAGAGCCAGGAATAGAAAGAAGTCATTTCGCGATAAGAGCACTCTCCCGGCTACTGGAATTTGCGTTCGATTACAACTCAAGGACCCTGTTTTTTGTCTGCATTGTGTGACTGGGTTTTTATTCAATTAGTTCAAGTTGAGGGATCCATCTGGCTGAACTTTTTACTGGCATGACTGGTATTTCTAGTGACTGATATCACCGTGGCGGCTCGGACTGCTTGGGACGCAAATACATGCACGAGCAAAAGGTCGTTTAGCGATACTGAGTGTTACTGGCAAACTCGCACGCTATAACCTGTTGTCCATTATCGAGAACCGGATTTCTCGGGGTTGAAATGGCAGCTAGGTACCGAAAGGGCGTCACAGCTGAGTGACTACGTTTCATGCTTTTGTGTGGCCTGCTTCTGCCCTAAGCTTTCCGACCACGTACTCCCAGGCGTTTAACAGGCTTGTGAATTTAACCATTTTGTTGTTAGTGTGAGGAGATTTCGGAGTTTCCATTCGGGGATTCGCCCTGTAAGTGAAGCTAGCCCATGCCGAAAAGCCTATAAGCGCTGTAAAACTGTTCCCTTCTCACTGGGAATGGTCAGTCGTGTGCATCTGACGAAACAGCACAGAGTTTCGAGCCCATGATCCCTCGTTTCGTAGTTGACAACCTAACCGTCCGTTCATGAGCTCCTGATCAGAAGTGTGTTTAGCGCATACTTAAAAAGGGTGTAGCACCCTCATCATTCAACCACGGGTCGTACATCAGACGGTCGTACATCAGAAACTGAGTGCGTTTTCCAGTGCCGACTTCACAAAAGTTTCCTTCTGAGCTACTTGTAGTTTGTTGGTAGTGTGATAGGATTTGGGAATTTAGAAGGTTGGAAATGAGTCCTTATTTGCTCAGTTCTGTGCTCTGTCTTACCAAATCTATCTATTCGTATTCCGGTCACGAAGATACTGAACCCTAATCGTGATGCAACAGTTTGCGTACCTCTTCGGTTGAGCTATGCTGAAGCGGCAGCCGCCTTTGCTGGCTGAACCATGTTCGTAAGGAAGTGGTATGTAAGCGAGTGCTTGGTGGTGAATCAGAATTACCAGAGCAGCAAGCAAAACTCAGCCGTTTAAAGTGGTTAGGACAGTGACTGCATATATATACTACTTACCGGAGAAAGTGGTTTCCAGTTGCAACCTCTTGTTGGTGATGGACCTATCGGAAACAGGTGGTGACTTGGCTCAACGACGGCGACTACCGTCAGCTTAAGTGCTGTGGGATCTTCCTGGTTCGGGTTAACTTGATTCTCCTTGCATGTAGTTAGAAACTCTACAAGATATTGCACGTAACCCATCCCAGTGAGAAGGATGCTGTCACCTCTTATTCGGACTGTCCAGCTAAAGTTTGTCGTTATATGGTGGGTTCTTCTCTAGTAAAATTAGAAAAGCATGTTTGGTCGATTCCATCGGTGGTGTCTCACTTCGCCTTGCTGCTCACGTTCGTTTATCTCGTTCCAAAACCTGGTCGCCTTGTTTTTGGTGGTTTTCTACAAACTATTTGTTATACTCCCCCAGGGGCAAAATGGTCGAATTGGTTAGAGCGCGAATTTACTGACCTGAATGTCCGTGGTTTGAACCCGACCTCTGCCTCATGACTTCCCCTGTCTAGCCTTGGGCAACCTGACAGTATCGCAGACCTCGTGCTTCCTTCGGGTAGCATGACAGCTAGACACCAAAAGGGTGTTAAAGCTGAATGATTTTTTGTACACTCCCCCACCTTTCTTTCCTAGACGTTCTTTATCATGATTATATCGCATTTAAGCATGATGATGAGGATGACTCCGCGTAGTCTACGTACTACTCAGACTGTGAATATCTGTGAGCCAGAGGAATTTCTGCATCAATCTGTGCGGAATGGAAGTACCAACCGAGCGTAGCAACAATTTGGAGTCTAATGCGCGTCTACCGAACAGAAATGTGAGGTTCCTTTTTTCCGCACGTGAGTGCTCGTCTAAACTGTATTCAGAAGCGTCTAGTGACTGGCGATGACTTCGTGATCAGTCCCAGCTATTTTCCAACTACGCCGGTTATCATTTATAGTTTGGTTTGTGCCACATGCATCCGACCACTTTCACTGCGATCACCCTGGTGATAGGGGCATCCATTTGTCTGTCAGAACGCGTCCCGACTATCGCCCAAACTTCCCAGCTTCCCCCATGGCCTGGCTACCTTAGGAATGATGGACAAACACGACGGGAACTTCGTAGGCTAAATGAATTGTGTTTGCACGATTGTTCAGAAAACTAGACGGGAGCCCCTTATCGTATCAAGTCAAGTCAGGCCAGGACACTGAGCTGTGATATGAAACCACCCAGTGTGCTTGACGGAATGAGGCCTACTGGTGACTGTCCACTGCCGGCGTAGAAAGATGTGTCGCGAGTTGATTTAATATTATCATCAGAGGAACATCATTGTTAGGTAAACCCTCAGCCGTTGTCAGTTTTCCTATCTCATTTGACTTGCTCACTTGGCAGTTATATGATTGATGTATGGGTAGTGTAGGCAAGCTTGTTTTTGTGTGATAGTTTGTTCAGCGGTTCATGTGTTCCAGCTTGTCTTATTTCTAATGGAGGACGTAAGTGATAAGTTTTCTCATCTAGGCCACCAACGATTGGTTGTTATTCTCTCTTGTCGGTTCCTAAATGTTGCATGCACATGTATTCCTACTTGGTTTCTGAGATACTGTGGAGCATAGTTATGACACGCTGATTGCCAATGACACGGTGTGTGTGTGTGTGTGCGTATGGGAACGTTTGTAGAAACAAGCCGATGCACAGAGTGAAATCAAGTGAATGAAGTCTTTTTAAACTAGGAGTGCCCTAGTTGAATGCGACTACTACCCTTTTCACTATACCACCAAATCCTTTTGGTTTTACGTGTAAATGCTGAACCAGGGAGATCAGACTCTGGAAACCATGAATCTGTTCACCCCTGCCTATCCATCAGACCACCCTTGCATAGTGAAAACTATCGCAAGCGTATAAAATTACATCATATCTTGGTGAGTGCGAGCGACAGCACGTCGTGTTTAATTTCTCTCGGCATCGCTAGGTATGTACATCTGTTGGGTAGACCCATACTTGGCATGGATGCCTTTGTACATCGTGCAGCTGCTTCTGAATAACATTACCGGATAACGGATGTTAGTTCAAGGAGATGGCATTCAGATGGGCTCAGTCTCTCATCCATGGTTGCACAACTAAACCAAGATTAAGAAGCTCACACACTGTCGTGCTTTCCTGTTCCCAGGAGAAACTATCTGTTCCTGGTGTAAGGTAGATTAACGCCCTATCATCGTATTTTAATTCATTTGGGCAGGACAAACCAAAGGCCAACAAGTTTTTGAAAAACAGTAGGCTGCACAACCGCTTCTCAAAAATGACGCATTTTGGTGCCAAAGAGGAACGACTGCATAAGAATATAAAATCCTCGTATAGATGTAAGACACTACTCACAAGGTTGTTGAAAACTCTTGGACACTCCACGACCGGTTTTGCCGTTCTTGGGGCCCATCAGTTGGGCATGATCTCCGAGTTCTCGTCAACCTTATGTTTTGTGTGAAACCAAACTGCACGGAATTCGAATTCATTTGCATACCAGTTCGGTTTTCACGGGAGACTCTCCTGGGTCCCAGCTAAATCTCTCGTTTTTCACAGTGTTCTTCAGCGATATGCGTTGCGCCGGACCGCCTCAGGCTTCGGTACGAGATTCGAGATATCGCAGTACGTCTTATAGATGTGGTACAGTACTGACAATACACTACATCATAAAGGCTGTTCAGTGTAGTTACTGACCTCTAGGGGTTCTCTGTTTGCAAGATTGACTGTATTATGATCGTACCATATATTACAGTTCAGACATTCTGCGTACGGCTTGCGCGGATTCGGAGCACCTCCGTCTCACAGTCAATGGGACTCAACTCAGTAGTGATACACAAATTCAAACTACGTCTGTATGCTAGATAGTCGTTGGGAGCAGTGTCTTTCGTAGAAAGTTGCAGTGTACCGATGTTTTCGCGTTCTCCTCAGCGTAACGCCACCCTACATTTACGTTTTAGCTTACTTGTGTAGTGAATACACATTAGGTTATGTTGTAGGTCGGTGGATTTATCTGATTCCACTATCGTCTTCTGTATGATGTAGTAGGTGTGTGCTTCGGTTGATGCATACTGCGTTGTTTTTCGGAAGCGCTGGAATCTGTCGGTTCTAATGATTCTGGGTGGGTTGCTTGTTTACGGCTAAACCTGCAAACTGTATCTGCGAACTAAGTATGCATTTGAATAATGGATGATTTTTTTCACTTACGTTCTGATTTGCCCGCTAAGTCACTCATATCACTGAACGTGGAATGCACAATATGAGTTGTTCCATGTTGTTTGAGGTTAATCAGATGAGCCTAGCAACAAATCTGATTCAACTTAATGCACTGAAGGGAGGGAGAAGTCCACGTGGAAGCAGTTAACTAAGCTGATATGTTAGTGGCATGGTATGGTGGTCGGTGGTCTTTCAGCCTTAACACCCTTTCGGTGCCTAACTGCCATGCCACCAGAAGGAAGCACGAGGGCTGGGATACTGCCAGGTCGCCCAAGCCTAGACAGGGGAAGTCGAGAGGCAGAGGTTGGGTTTGAACCACAGACCTTCCGGTCAGTAAATTCGTGCTCTAACCAGTGAGCCATTTCGCCCCCAGTGGCGTGGTAGCTACGATACCGTAGTATCTGATGAACAGGTTCATTCCTACTCCCTCGGATTCGTGAAGACTCAAAGAACCACAAGCCCTAGTTAGCGCACAGCGTGTAAGCTGTTAAGTCATACGGTCCGTTCGCTCCCACATGCAATCCGTAGATCAGTACATGTCTTTGAACTGGACTTTCAGGCCTGGAAACATTGAATGTGTTGGTAATTCTAAAGTTATTTGTTTCCGCCATGGCATTCGGACCGTCAGTGTCGGCCCACCGGTGCTTTTTCTTGGCTGGTTACTTTTTGCTGCAACGGACAGCCTATTCGGGGCTGGTTTTATGAGGATGCGCTGGGGCACACATCTTTGATTCAGTTGTTCGGCCTACTTAGTTACTGAAAGGAGGAGGGAGTTGTCCTGATGTGCTCCGATTCTCGGAACGAAGTTGAAAGGGATCGTATATCAGATACATCGCCTGTTACCCAGTTACTACTCTGAAACTCGTAGGTTCGAATGTTTTGAGGTATTTGTGCGATCCTGTGCCAAGGCCGTGATCTCAAAGCAAGGAACTGGTTAATTAGCCTAAACGCACGATCTAGATGTCCTATGTGACAGGTAACGTGAAGTCTAATTCACCAACCGACGGTCAGTCATAATTGCGGCGAAACCGAATTCTACGAACTTCACCTGCGTTTCTCCAGTAGTCGCAATTGGGCAGTGAACAATATATTGAATTGGACTTGGGCAGACAGTATAGATAAGTAGACCTTGGTTCTATAGGAAATTAACAGTAAATCCTGAGGGGAATTAAAGAAAGACTTACGGCTAGATTGAACAACACAGGATGGCACACGAAGAGCAGTGTGCCATCGGACAAATTAAACGGGAAAATTGTTGTTCAGTTCAAAGTGAGACAAGTTTTCAACGACAAGCCCAGAAATAAATGTAAACAAATCGTCTATAGAAAAAACAGTTGAAACAGAGTCAACTTCGTATAAAATAGAACGGTTCAGTCTTGAAACTTGAGCAGTCACGGAAGGGTGATGAATTAGCCTGAGGAATAGGGAAACAAATAATTACTAACAGTATTCGTGAGATACGTACTGAGGGCGATTCTCAATAAGGATGGAGTGCTTTTCAGCTTCTCGACACGGATTCACTTGCAGGATAAGCTTTTAGTTGAAACTTACATGACTCTAAAATTTCCCGATTGTTTCACCTTGTGCACTGCAAGTCCGAGTGGAAGCGGATTTTCAGCAGTTGGTAACATGCTTTTCAAAAATACAAAACAACGATATTTTTATGTTTCACTCAGTGTCTACGCAGTGTTTTATATTAGACCTAATTTTGCTTCATTCTCAGTTGTTTTGTATCATTTATCGCCGTTTGATCGATATACTCTCCATATTTGCAGTGTGCCCTACATTGAAACCAGCGCTGCTACTGGATATCAGGTTGCCGCTGCAGTCGACCTCCTATTGGATGCCGTTATGAACAAGGTGGAGGCCTCGTTGATCAAATCTCGCATACATAATTCAACAGCGGACGCTGTAAATTTATCTAAACGGCCAAACAAAGGCTCAAGTTGTGCATGCTAGTCCGTTTGTGGTGCTGTTTCCCGGTCCGTTCGTTCTCACGTCTGTTTCTTAGGATGGTGAGTTCCCGTCTATTCCGGTTTTGAGGGTACCGCTTTCCATCCTCTTCTACTGGGGATTGTGCGGTTCAAATTCTCCGGCTACTTTTTTTTTTAGCTTTTCTGTTCAGTTAAGGTAACATGACATACTTGGTGTTGTGTAGTTGTAAGATTCATCAAATTTGTATTCACATACTCTAGTTTTAATAACCCCTTGACCGGCGCGATCCACACACAAGTCTCACCCTTAGCAAAGCTCATCGGTGGTGCAAATCCTTGCTATATGGAAGTCTCAACACCAGTCATCGTGCGTGTGCGTCGACTATACGTTTGCTTTACACGTCCGGATTGGCACGTCTGAACGAAAATTTCTCAACCAATCCAGGTTTTGACGTCCAGTCCTCATTACCTTAGGATCGATCACCTTTCTCCGGAAACCTATTTCATGCTTGCGTCTTCGGAAATAATCAACTTTAGGCATCTCCTGTATCCTCTGTCGGACTCGGAGTTGCCAGGCATGGTGTAATGTCCGAGTTATCATTCCACCTCTGGTCTGCCGTTGCGTAATTGGGACGTGATAGGCGTATGAGCATAAGATAAATTAAACCACGAGATCATAGGCATCATCATCATCATCGTTGGGACGTGGCGTATGAGCATAAGATAAATTAAACCACGAGATCATAGGCATCATCATCATCATCGACAGCATGACATCAGTGTTCAACCAACACGCTTCACTGCTGTACAACCAT